AGCCAGAGAGTATGGCTGCATGAATGCAGAGAGCTTCAGAGACCTCCTGGAGAGTATGACTGATTCTCAAGCCCCCAGGTTTATTTCTAAATGGATGTTTTCAAGACACAGGTGGAAGTGGTTGATACCTCTAGACAATAAAGGGTGGTGAAAATATTTGCTTTAGTCTCATTGATTTAGGAAGAAAATGCTCTGAGAACAGAGAATGATATCAAAATAGTTGACAGCAGGGAAAAGTAAAATTCACTGTTTAAAAATAGTTGCAGCAAAATGTAGGGGTTTGCTTTTTACTTTCCTCAAACAAATTTTCAGGTTACTCAGACAGAACCATTTCAATCATTTATCTGACTGGAAGGTCAATGTTCCTTTGAATAACAAATGGGTGTGGTGAACCTTTATTTCTGTCCCCTTGGACCCAGCTGCCTAAACACTGCAAGAAGTATGCACACAGAACAAATAAAGCCTTGGCCAGGGCACGTGAAAGTAGGATACACACTCCAGACCAAATCTTTCTTTAGAGCAAGCCATGTGAAAGCTCAAACACATGTAGGAAGTTGCAAGTTCTGGGAGGAGAGCTGGGTGTCACACTCACAAAGTTCCCTAAGCTGCTGTTTTTGTCAAGCCTAGCAATTATCTGGGCTTCCCCGTGGCTTTTTTAGGTTTGCCATTTAGCAGAGCAAGTAACATACTATCATAGGAGATATCCAGCTCCTATCAGAGGTGGCATGGCCATAGCTTGCTGCTTCTGATTTGGAGCTGCCAGGGCATCTACAAGGAACATCTTGCTGATGTGGGTCCAGGTTGTGGTGTTGGTGAAAAATGTGGGGTTTTTTTTAGTTGAAGCAAAAAGAAACCGGGTAAAATGTTCCAGTATTGATGTCAAAATCTTTATTATCATTAAATATGTGGGTTCTAGTTTTGGTGAATAAGCTAACACACAGCTTTGTCAGTGGAAGTTTTCCTGGGAGAAAAAGGTAGAGATGCTTTAGGTAGCAACAGAGCAAAGCTGAATTTTAGGTACTGCACAGAGATCGTACAGAACCAAAACACTTGGTCAGATTTTTTAACACTTGAATTTGAGATTCTGCCGTAGATTAAATAATCTGCGCTTGGGAGTAGGTGAAGCATTTAATGTTCTCTTAGGCAGAAAGTATGCGGAATTTGTGTATGTGTTTTACCATAATTGAAAGACACACCAAAGCATCAAAGCAGTACTGTGGCCCATGGAGGATCACACTTGGGAGTGTTGTTCTAATTATGAAAAAACAGCAGAACATGAAGTTCTAATATGTGAAGCATTGTAGTATGTTATGATAATTTGCACAGAGTGATGGTACACCTTGAGGCTGGCTAGAGGGAAGGGTGGATGCTAGAGAGGTACTGTAAGAAGTGTTCTGCTGTGAGTTGTCAGCAGCAGAGCTAACAGCAATGAATTCTGATACCAGAGGTGTGTTACTTCTAAAACTCCCCTAAATCAGAGCTATCTGACAGGTTTCATGTGTAGGACATGGATGGGTAGAACTTGATGATCTGAGGTGAAAAGTCAGTTGATAACAAGGAAACTTCTTGGCTATAGGGTATGGTTCAGGTGCAAAATGTTCCCTCAGAACAGTGCTATGGCTCTGTCCATACTTCCTGGCATGCTCTTCAAATTTTACCTTGGTAAAAACCAGCATCAGCTTGTTGGAGTTCTGAGAACTATACTGTAACTGACCCAAAGGGGAAACAGACTGACCTTGGCAACAAATGAACTCAGGATTGCTGACACTGTGAACTGAAGAGTATGAGTTGAAGGTGGAATGAATGACTGTGAATGACAGTGAAGTCTGCCGGATGGGGTTTGAGCGGTGCAGCATTTTGAATTCTTCATCTGATAGGGAATGATTTGCCTAGCTACCGTTATATTATGTGCAATGCTTGCTGATATAAAAGCAAAGGTAATGCTCTACCTCCATGCTCTGTGTTTGTGCAAGTAGAGACAAAGATACAATTAATCCTTTACATTGCCAGTCTTTAATGTCATAGGTCCCATTTACAAAAACCCAAACCAACTTTATAATGAAAGAAGCTTTTCACAAGCTGCTGCATTATTATTATTTTGCTTTTCACAGACTCTCAGAATAGTTGGGGTTCAAAGGGGCCTCTGAAGATCATCTAGTCCAACGCCCTGCTAAAGCAGGTTCACCTAGAGCAGGTTGCACAGGATTGTGTCCATGTGGGTTTTGAGTACCTCCAGAGAAGGAGGCTCCACAACCTCTCTGGGCAGCCTGTTCCAGTTCTCTGTCGCCCTCAAAGTAAAGATGTTTTTCCTCATATTCAGATGGAATTCCCTGTGTTTCATTTTATACCCATTGCCCCTTATGCTGTTGCTGGGCATCACTGAAAAAGAGTCTGGTCCCATCCTCTTGACATTTGCCCTTAAGATATTTGTATGCATTGATAAAATCCCATATCAGTTTTCTCTTCTTCAGGCTAAACAGGCCTAGCTCTCTCAGCCTTTCCTTCGTAAGAGGGATGCTCCAGTCCCCTAATCATCTTCATAGCCCTCTACTGGATCCTCTCCAGTAGCTCCTTGTCTTTCTTGAACTAGGGAGCCCAGACCCAGACACAGGACTCAGATGTGGCCTCACCAGGCTAAAGCAGAGGAAAAAGATCACTTCTCTCAATCTGCTGGCCTTACACACTTCCTGATGCACCCCAGGATACCATTTGCCTTCTTAGTTACAAGGGCACATAGCTGGCTCATTTGATGCCATTTTGCTCATCTAGCTTAGTATCTGGATTGGGGATAATGTTCCTTAGAGTGTAAGCTTTACTATTTTATTTTTAAAAGGAAAAAGTTTAAAGAACAAGGAAGAAACCCTTGCAAATAATTCATTTTACTGGCAATTTCCACTTAAACCTGACAAATCTATTTGTACCCTGTGTGATAGAGGTGTGGATTCCTTGAATCTCAGCTGGAATACAGTGCAATATATACCAACAAATGAGCCTGTAGATTAGTAGTTTAGGAGAGGTTTTTTCCTGTACAGATCTAAAGCCATCTGAAGCCCTTTAAATTTGTGTACCAAGAACATGTTTTTGTCAATTTGTGCACAGAAAGAAGCTAGAGACCCATACTCTGACAGCTATGAATACAGGTAGTGCAAAGTCATGCTGGAAATCTCTAAGTAAGCTTTTTACATGGGCACTTAACTAATCTGAATGATACTGTTTGCAATAAATCAGGAAGAAAATGTAAGTGAATCACAAAAATTTGTAGGTCAAGGGCTGACTGCCAGCCAAGTGCAGATTGCACAATTATTTCCTCTTCTGGAAAGTTTGCTCAGGCAAGAGTGTTGAGCTGAATTATTTGTTGCTAGATAAGGTACACAAGAAGAAACAGTAACATTGGTATATATTCCATGGGGTGTGTTTGTTGAGATACCTATAAAGAAGCTCCCAAACCGATGAATTCGATCGTCTTATTTTACAAGCAAATAAAGGACGGTGGGTTGTTGTTGTACATGCACATTTTCTGCCGAAGAATTGTACTGTGTACAAAATAGATGCTAGATCTTATGGTTTTTGGAAAGATATCCTGGGTTTATTTGCAGAGGTAATAGAGATTCTAGTTTTCCAGATTCTAGTGGGAAATGGAGAGGATCTCCTCCTTGTACATAGAGGACAACTTTATTTCTGCAGGTTTGCACACACAGGTAGTATTCCTGATTTTACTGCTTATAAAGCCGGCCAAACCATTGTATGGTTTCTTCTTGTATCAATGGCATGAGCAAGTATGGACTTTAACATCTGTGTTCTTTAAAAAACTGGTTACAGGTCAGTCTTAAATCACCTAACCAAATAAATGTTGTAGTTTCTCTGAAAGCTTTTTTTTTTTTTTTGCTTCACCAAAATGAATACACTTATTACCTGCCCGTGAATATCTGAATAATGCATATAGAAGCCTTCTGTAAAAAAAATGAGTATGAGTTCTTTAAAAGCTCTGTGTAAACAAAGGCCCAGGCAACTTGAAAAAGACCTAAAAAAACCCATTCCTCAGCCTGACATGTATTTACCAAGTCAGATTTTCAGAGGGATCAGTGTTAGTTTAAATTCAAAATTAAACAATGGCTTCATATTTATTAAAGCAATTTACTCTGGTGGAATTAAAGTATATTATGAAGTATCCTGCTTTGATGCGGGTCAGAAGAGGATAGAATTCCTTTTCATGAACTGTTTTTATCTTTTATGTCACATGATTGAAAGTATGCATCTTAACTGAGTATCAGCAGTCCTCCTGATTCCCTGGAACTAGTAGCCTCAGAGATGAGAATATGCTTCACTTAAGACTTGAACGCAACACTTTGGCACAACTTTATTTCAGTTGTTAAGGGCACTTTAAATTTAGCGACCTTAATAGATTATTCCACTGCATTGAGTAAGATACCAATATTCTCATCCAACGTGTTTTTTAAGTTTTACAGGAAGTACTCTAACTCCTTTTATTGCTACTGTGCAATAGGTTTGTGAGACTTCATCTCACTGAAGAAAAAAATAGAATTTTGACACCTACTCTATCTATTATATAATAATAAAATTAAAATAAAACCACAAACTGTCCAAAGTAGGAAGAAAGTAATCACATTTTCTTGTCTTTTTATGGTCAAGAAGATCACTGTCTTCACAGAAAGCATGCAGTGCTATCTTATCACTTTTATTCCCACCTGCAATTGTAACTAGCTGTTTTTCTTTTAAATACAGAGGAAAATCCCAGTTCTGCAACAGGAAGCATTGGATTTTATGAAGTTTAAAAAGGAAGATATTTATTCAAGGCAGGACTTCTGCCATGCATGGCTGCTATAAGCCTGCTTTTGCTGTAGTTATGTAGTCAGCTGAACATTACTATGAGGAAGATCACTACCTAATTCATTCACAAGCTGAGAAGGGACCTATTCTGCTGACTCATGCTTATAACTGTTCTCTTTGCTCCGCCTCCATTCATTTCAGCCCCTCCTCTCCTCTCATTGCTGGTAGCCTACTATATTTAAACAGCTGCCTTAGAGCAGAAACAGCATTTGAGGCTTGTAGTTTGGTTGGCTTTCCTGACTGTCCAGGCATTTTCCTAAAGGTCCTACTTCTTCTCATCAGACCTACTGCTAAAGGTAAGAATGCTGTAAGTAAATGTAGAGAGCTCTGTCTGGCATACTGTAACATTGTTTTTCTGAATATCACAGGGGTGTTTTTAGGAAGGTATTTTTGTGAAGCTGCATTTTTTCCACATACTTTAATTGTGTTTGTGGGGTAACTGGCCTGGCATAAAAGATGTAAGGGGTGGGGAGCAGGGAAATTTCTGAAACTTGGAGGAAGGTATAGAATGTAAAATCTATTGAGATTTCTGTTCTTTTCTGAAAAAATAATGAAATTTTAGAAACTGCTGGTGAAATGAATGGGTTGATGAAGAAATGAAGCTGAAAAAAACTGTTGCCTTTCTCTTACAATTGTTCCTGTTTAAACCTGACTGTCATAGTAGCTCTTTCAGTCTCTTCCATTATTTATATGCTGAATGCCCTGCTCTCTTGAACTCTCTCCATGTACAGGTCACATTTGGTGGTCCTTAGTTGAGCAAAAGTTTCACTGATGTCCTAGGGAGAACTGCTTGCATGTGACTTGTAACTTGGCTTTTTATTTCTGCTGAAGATCACCTAATGTCATTGTCCTGCTAAATTCATCTTTGCTTTTATTCACTTAAAATCTGTTTCAGTTGTGCAGCCTGGAGCTACTAGGGGCCACACTGACTTACTTGGTGACTTATAGTCCCTCTGGGCTTAGGGCTGTGTTAAGAAGGTATAGAGAGCTTGCCCAGAATGAGCTGGGTACTGTACCAAGCCAGGACTACAAGCCAGTATCCCATAGACACTGAAATACTTTGTAATCAGCAAAGAGGTAACTGTTAAGCTTGCAGCATGTTCCCAAATGAAGAGGAGGAAAAAAGACACCCATTTAAATCGGAAGCCTAAAGTAGGAGTCCAGCCTAAGATGAATGTCACTAAGTTGACTATGTGTGAATGCCCAGCAGCCTGCTCTACATAAAAGCAGGGTGAAAAGAGCAGTCTTGGGTTTCTTGCTAGCTCAGGTTTTCTCTTGCTGGTAATCAATTCTGTATAGATTTGAAATGAACTTCAATGTCCTCTATGCTTTCCAGTAACCTCTGCAAGAACAGGCTTTCATCTGCTGAACTGTATTAGTTGTGCAGGTTATCGAGGTACATGTGGTCCCTTGATTCTAAGAGTAAAAAAAATCCACCTTTACTTCAAATGGCAGTAAAAGTGAACATTTGGTCTGAAACTGAAATGCTCTGAGCTCAGTTTTACCCTCAGAAGTCAAACACTTAGCCTACAAGGTGGGAATAGCTACAAACAGGTTCAGCATCCGGTCTACTTAAAGAAGCAGCATTATCCACCCTCTATGAATTTGAGAGATAGTAGCTATAGGTCGTTGAAGGGACTTCTCCTGTGTGTAGGGACATGCCAGAATAAACAGAAGCATCTCTCATGGTTGATCTTGTGTAGGTAGAATTGTCGAGGTTCAAAACTTGAGGAAACAAAGCATGTAGCACTGATACTGTCATTTTGGGACCCACATCCTGACTAAAACCATGGCTAAAAATGGTTACGTATGTGTATGGATCAAGTAATTTCACAGACTAACAGTTGTGCTCCTTTAGCCATTAAGGTTCAGTTTAATTACAACAAATGCTCCTTCTTCATGTGTCAGAAGGTACAGAACGGAGGAGGAGAAGGAGGAGGGTGAAATGACAATGTTAGTGTTGAACTAGTGGCTGCTTGGCTTTGCTCTCTATCAGGGTGGGATAGGGTGGCATAGTGCAATGGCAAGGAGCCAAGGCAACCTTTCCTCTAAAGCAAACAGGACTACCAGGCTGACTTCTACTGTCTTGTGCCTTTTTGTCCCCTTCAGCCAGAAAAAAGCTGGCACACAACAACATGATCTGCACCCAAGTCTTACAAATGGGTTTGTAGGCTTGTTATTTATATGCTGGCTTCGCTGCTCTCCTGGAATACATGCTGTACTGGGTTGGTTCAGCAGTCCTTGCTTCCAGCAAAAATCTCATGGATGTTGCTGGGTTACCACTGTCTACCAAATGCATACAGTTTTTCCATGCATGCTGCTGCAGAGTGCTATGAAGAAGAAACCTGGAAGATTGCTTCCAGAGATTTTGCTTCCCTCTTCCAGACTCCCAATAGTTTCACAGAAATAAGATGTACACACTCTGTAGGAAATATTAATAAGAACTTGTCTTCTTGTGTAGTACAGCCATGGAGAGGGATTTATTTGTTACCATGGAGAAGAAATCTCTGCTGCCCTTCAGATAAGTACTCTGGTTTAGCTGGTTTGAAGGGAATACCTTACTGGTCACCCCACTGTCTTGTTACTTTGATGCCTCTGACCTTCCCACGTGCTAGGGCTAAACTCTACCAATTTTAACTCTAGAGCTTTGTGACAGGGAATTATTTGGGGGTAAATTTACACATCAATCTGCTGAAGGCTGTGCAAGTTTTGGTTCATGTGGCAGAACCTACCCAAAAGGCTGGGGAAATACTTGGGCAGTTAAGTTGTACTCCTGCAGCTACCAGGGTTTGATTAAATATGCTGTAAAGGGATTATGCATGCCTCAGTATGGACGCAACACACAGAAGCATTCATCTTCTGTAGTGCATTCACCTATTTATGAGTCTAAGGTAATTTAGGTTACCTTGGGAATTTAAGTTTTCTTGAAATCCAGCTCTCTTCAAAGCCAGATGCTTGAAGTGACTTGAATTTGAAAGCACTATTATGTTTTTAAGTGGTTCTTGCCCTGTCAGGCAAAGTGTATGAGTCTTAGACTAATGTTTAGTTAAGTGGCAATAGGCAACCAGTAAATATTACTAAACTGTGATCCAAAACTTTGGACAAAGCTACTAGTTTTGGATTCAGCTTGTAAGCCTTATTTTGTGTCTCTTTACCTGGATGAAGCTGGTCTTCATGGGGTCTAGCCCAGCGATGGCTATATATTGGTGTATATTAGAATTGTCACATCTTTGCAGGCAAATCCACTTAAAAGATGACTCCTGAAGCCTGGGATTCTGCAAGTCCTGAACTGACCTGTGGGTTTCTGTGTGCTCATTCAGTCACCAGGCTCTTACCACATTACTGTAGGTGTTGGTCATGTAAATGTCAGGCTTAAAGTGAAACATTACACTTGTAAGATGACATTTGCTGCAATACCTGTGTCAAAGGCAGTGATGTGCCAGCCCTTATGGAAGTGTGCAGTGTGCTTGCCAAAGATCTTTCTGCACTGAAAAGGGTGTGGAGAGCATGTTGTACTGAACAAAGTCAAGCCATTCAGCTGCTTTTTTTTTTTTTTTTTCAACTTAACTTTCCAAAATGAGAATAATGTCCTTATAAAATGATCTATTCTCTGTAGAATAACCTAAAAGCTTATGCTGGATTTCAAAAATCTCACGTTTATTCTGGTAAAAATAACTTTAACTAGATAGTGATGGTATAGTTGAATTCCTTAGAAAACTAAAGTTATTATTTGACATGGTGGGATTCCTGCAGGAATGACAAAAAAAAACAACTTAGTTTTTTTTTTAATTAATTAAATATCTAAAAATTATTATATTAGTTTTGTAGATTACACGCTAATGACACCTTAGTCTTCAAGATAATTACAATGTATAATTTGCCTCAAGACTTCTTGTTATTTACTTATTCAAACCAAGAACTCTATTTTCTGGAAAACTAGCAAAGAAGGTTCAGGAACTAAATTAGCACTTCTCAAAAAACTCTGTAATGATGAAATGGTACATATTTGAAAATGCAGTGAGATTTCCAGCCTTTGGGCAGCAGTCTTGAGTAAATGCAAAAATTGCTTTAAAAAGTATGAACTGCTCATGATAATTATGACCATTTTCTACACAGTATGGGCAAAAAATGAAGTTTTCATTAACAAGCTGCAACAGTTCAGTTACTGTAGTCAGAAGGTTTCTGGAGTTGCCAGCTCTTCTGAAGGGACTGGAATTCATGTGTGGAAGTGAAAGATAAGGGTTCTCTCCTTTTTTTTTTTTTTTTTTTTGTTTTGGTGATATATAATCAGGGAATCATCCTTTGGTTTTGGGGGCAGAAGGAGAAAAAGATAAGGAGACCTGTCCTGAGTGTGGAAGTGTAATGTGACTGTAACGCAAGGATAATACTCTAGATTCACCTGGGTTTCATTAGAAAGTCATGGGTTTTTTAGTCAAAAAAAGAAAAAAAGAAATAATTCAAAGCTTATTTGTTTTAGCAGGTAGACTCCAGGACCTAAATGCTTCCAGACGGAAAGGCGTATGCATTATTGGCCAGACCCCAAAATAAGAGTGCGTTCAAGCCACTGCCTGTTGTGATTATAGGTAAGCTTTCTCTTGCCAGCATTACTGTGTTCTCTCATGCTGCTTTTGCTTTGGACTTGATGTCTTCAGCTCTTGTTCCAAGTGTACATATTCAAACCAGAAATGCCTGACCACTTTTTCTACATCCTTTCCCTAACAGCCAAACTCCCTCTAATACTAAAAGAAAGACTACTAAGTGTTGTAGGAAGTAGGGGACCAGGTAGTTGACACACTAAAACACACACCTCTCTTTAAAACAGTAAAATTGACAACCTTCTGGGCATCAGTTCATCTGGGCCTGGTTTTTTTCTGATAGATATTTAGAAGGGTTTGAAACCTTTTACTACAGATAGTTGATCAACTTGCTATGGAGTAATGACCCATAGTGCTTGTATTGGAGGTGGGTTTGTTTGATTATATTTTTTTCCCCATTGTGTGTGTAGAAAGTGTTCCAGATGCTGTTAAAGTTTCTTGAAAATTTTCAGAGTTCTGTTAAAATGTAAGTCAGCTGCACTGATTTTGTAGAGATTTAACAGAATGGTAAAAATCTGTGGGTTTTCTACCAGTTTAGAAAGCGGGTTATGTAGTAACCAAGAGTTAACAAGTAAAGTTACCAAAGTAACTTGTTTACTTGTTTACTTTTGGTTACTTTAAACAAGAGTTTCCTTTGCAAGAAGGGAGCTTTGTAATGTGAGGTGATTGAGGAAATCAGAAGTAGTGATGTGAGTGACTTCCCCTCTGTGACTGACTGTAATCTGTGCTCCAGTGCAGGTGTTGGATTCTATTTATCTAAGCATGTGTTTAAATGTCTTTTAGGGCTGGTTCCTTCCTTATCTGTCACCTAATTTATAGTCCCCAAGAGATGTAGTCCAAGGTTAGAGTACCACATAAATGATGCTTAATTATCACTAACATCAAGTTTGACAAGTTTACAACTACCAGCAGGTTCTAGTCTGACAGTGACTTTATACTGCCCAGTTGTACAAGCCTTTAGGTGGGAGAGAGGCTGTTTTGGTACATCCCTAGTGCTACCCAGTGATCCGGTGTGGAAATCTCACTAAAGCCACAGAAGCACTGGTGTGCAGATGTGCACTTTGAGGAGGCTGTTGGACTGAAGCAGCTCAGCTGTTTCACTGCAGCTGGACATTGCACACAGGTTCAGGCCCTGCTACCCCAGGCCCTGCTTCAGGAAGCCTGTGGTGTCCCTCTGCTGTGCTGGCAACCTCATGGAAGCAGTTGCTTTCTAGAATAGTTTGAGCCCTGGAGGCAGGTGTACATGTGACTGTCATACCAAACAGATGTGGTTCACAGTAAATCCTCCTGTGTGTTGCTGAGTGTTGTGCACTCAGGTGATTCAGTTTAGCTTAGGTACCTTCTTGTACTTCCTAAAGCAAAGTAGTAACCTGAAAAATATTACATTTTACTACATCTGTAGTTTAGTTTGCTTTAGATTTCTGTTGGTTTTGGATAACTTTCCTGCAAGTGGAATATTCCAAACACTGACCTGCAGCTGCTGGTTGTTGCTCAGACTTTGGCCCCAGCTATGACACATACTGCCTTGCACATAACTCAGCTCACTGTTAAGCTTTACAGCCTGAGCCTCCCTCTATCTCAAATCCACAAGCAGCAGCCTTTGCCCCAGTCACTCACACATGCAGCACGGGGAATGTGTCAGCGCAGGCTGCTGTGTCACTTCAGCTCTCCTCCCCTACATCGTCACTGCATTATGTAATGGTGGTTAGTCACATACTGGTGAGCAGCAAAGCCTGAGCAGCCAGAGAGGCTGACACCTAGTTATGCAGACACTGTAAAATATTAAACATGCTGGAGAACAGCCATGGGAAAACTTTCCATGTGCTGCTCTCACTGGGCTTTGGAGTCACATAGATCAAGTTTTTTCCACTAGCTGTTGGGTGGTCAGCAGGAGGAGTTCAGCTATCCAGCAATCTGTTCAAAGTGTTGTATTCTGGGGAGTTGTCTTGGCACGGCAGAGTGACTTTTTTCCTTAACACACTGCCTGCAGTACCATGGTAGGGCTGATTCCCATTTGAAAGTGTCCCCAAGACCTGTTAGTCAAAACTGTTACTGCCAGAAACCCCTTATTCAGTGGGATTTATCACTGAGCAGAGCTGTTTCCCCTTCTCTTCAATGGTAACTCTTTTCTGGATTTAGTCTGTATCCTGTGCAACATGAACTACTCTGCACGGGTGTGAAATGTGCATCCAGGAGAGCTGAGGTCCCCAGTCCATGTGGGACCAGTTTCTAAACCTTTAAAGTAATGAGCAATAACTCAATTCATCAGCATCCTACAGACTTCAAGCTCCAGGTGAGGTTAACCTCTGGCTTGTTTAACCCAATGTCTCTTCAGCAAGTTCTGAAGATCTTGTAATTCAGATAGATGCAACTGAGGACGAGAAGGGGACATGAGGGTAAAATGATTTCCCCAGGTTCACCCAATAGGTCAGTGGTCAACCTGGAATAGGAAGTCCGCTGTATCCATAGTAATGTTTCATCCTTTGAATTGGTTGGGATATTAGAGAAGCCCATTGAGAAGCATTTCTGTCTGCAGGAGTATAAATTCTTCTCCATTGTCTTTTTAGGGAATGGTCCTTCAGGAATCTGTCTCTCATACTTGCTGTCAGGCTACATCCCTTACTTCAAAAGAGACTCTCTTCATCCTCATCCCATTCTTCAGAAGAAACTGGAAGAGGCACGAGATATCTCCATTTTGGACCAGGTTTGTGTAAATACAAACGGTATAACAACACAGTAAAGTACACAGACAGAATGAGCCTTAAGCAATGCATTTTTAGTTGTCCAGATTTCCCTTGTAGGAAATGCCAGCATTGCTGCTAAGATCCTTGTGGTGGTCCTCAGGATGTGTGCCAGTAAATAAGCTTCACAGAAGACCAAGACCACTGACTGGAAGCACTGGAGTAACAAGCAGTCTGCTGCCTGGCAGGACATGCATCTTGAGCATCTCTTCTGCCTCTCTTTAGGATTTGGAGTATCTGTCTGAAGGCTTGGAGGGACGATCCCACAGCCCTGTGGCTCTTCTGTTTGATACTCTTCAGCGTCCAGACACAGACTTTGGTGGAACAGCAGAATCTGTCCTCACTTGGTGGCATGAGACTGACAGAGCCATCCCCCATGTGGTCCTTGGCAGAAATGCTCCTGGAGGTGCCTGGCATGTATGTGAATTGAAGCCTTAGGTCTGCATGTTGTAAGATAGCCAAATGTGTTGACTGAGACGCAAAAGCTCCTTTAATATGCCAGTCAGCCACATCTGATTTTATGTATATAGACAGGGAAAAATTTAAAAGGAAAAAAGTGTGAAATGAATTTATATTTCCAGTCTTGTGTTCTTTTTGGAGAACTTCGATGGCTTCATGCATGAGAGTAGATCAGGGGAAATCACTGATTTCATTATCTGTGCCATACTGAAACATGACAAAATTGCATTTCAGTTCTTATATTAAGTAACTGGAAGTCATTTTACTCTGTTTTTTGTTCCAGTCTATCGAGGGCTCTATGGTTACCCTGAGCAGAGGGGAATGGATGGGGCTCCCAGATCTCCCATTCAAAGACTGGCTAAAGCAAAAGAAAAGGTAAGATACCTATGGTGTAATTATTTGTAGACGTGAGATGTTTGGGTATGTGGAGTGAACTTCTTAAATGTAGCTGCTTCTCTGTTACTGATCATTCTATTGAGAGAAAGAACACCTTTCCATCCCCAGGTAAAAGTCCTTTCTGCATTCAGGGATTCAGGTAAAGTTGCAGTGCTGCTTGAAATGTGTCCTTCTTAACAACCACTAGGGAGATGGATCACAGTGACCATGGGTTCTGAATAAAGCTTGGAAAAGCCATGGTCATCCAACTTCTGTGTCTACTGCTGCTGTCCCAAATGACAAGTATAATCAGCTCAGCTACTGTGCAGGCTGATATGCTTCTGCTCTTGATGTGTAACAGTATTCAAGAGTCCAGGAGTTAAAAATGGAACCGAAGCAAGATGTGAGAGGAAGACACAAACGAGCAACCATGTTTTTAGGGATGAGAGTCATGCTAGAGGAAGCTGCCTCTAGTTAGCATCTTGTTGACCTCCATGCTAGCTCTATATACCAGTGATAACTGTGCTGAGGAAACTAGATAAGTCTTTTCTGGTAGTGCAAGGATAGATGGCTTTAGGATACATGCAGTGGAAGGGAGAAGAAATTCTAGTCTCTTACTTGACTGCTGCTTGACCTTCAATTGTGTTGTATTACAGAGGCCTCAGAAATAATAGAGCGACAGCAGAAGACATTGCTCAATATTACCAACACTATGTGGTGAAGAAAGGACTGCAGAAGAATTTCAGATGCAGTACTGTTGTGACCTCTGTGAGGAAAGTGAGTGCAGATAGCATCTCCAACCACACACAAGAAGATCAGCAAGAGAATAGTGATGACTCAGTCTGGAACTTCAAAGAGAAAAGCACAGAGGTCTTTCAGGTGGATGGCTTTTTCAAAACTATGAAAGGTGATAAAGAACCCTTCTCCATCTATGCAGAGAATGTGGTCTTAGCCACAGGAACATATGATAGTCCTACTTGGCTTGGGGTCAAGGGAGAGAACCTTTCCTATGTCCATCACCAGCTGTCTGCCCTAGAGGAAGCAGTGAAAAATGACAGCATTGGCATCATGTCAGATCCAGTCTTGATTGTAGGTGCTGGTCTGACAGCTGCTGATGCGATTCTCTTTGCTCACCATTGCAATATTCCAGTAATCCATGTTTTCCGTAGAAAAGTCAGTGATCCAGGTCTTATTTTTAACCAACTCCCCAAAATGATGTACCCTGAATACCACAAAGTTCATCAGATGATGAAAGAACAGTCAGCTGCTTGTGCAGGGCCCTATGAATGTTATGTTAGTTTTCCTGAACATCATGTGCTATCCTTTGGCAAGGACAAGAAATGTATCTTTCAAGATAAGAATGGCCACCAGAAAGTTTATAAAATTTCCATGGCTCTTGTTTTGACTGGCTCAAATCCCAACCTCTCCTTTCTGCCAAATAATGGCATTGACTTGGCAATGAACAACAGCCAACCAGTCAATCCAAAGAGGAATCCCATAAATGTTGACCCATTCACTTATGAGTCCACCCAGGAGAAAGGACTTTATGCTCTAGGACCTTTAGTTGGAGATAACTTTGTACGTTTTGTACAAGGAGGGGCTCTGGCTGTTGCCAGCTCTCTGTTAAAGAAAGCAAACAAAAATCCCCCCTAACAAATAACATCCCTATGCTGTGTCTGAATAGGTTACTGCTGTTTTCTTGAAGAAGCAACTCATCTGATTTGTACGTCCTCAAATGTAAAGCCCATACCTGGTATTCTCCAGGGTTTTACAGAAAGTTACTAAGTTCTCACTGAGTTATTTGAGAAAATTAAGTTACCAAATAGAGTGGGTTTCACGTATGGTAGTGCCTTCAACTCCTGGGGATTCAGCTCCTTGCATGCATGGCTGTGCATAAAGGCTGCAGGGGCTTTGGACCTTGTGCCTGGAGAAGTAGAGGGCAAGACAGTGATTGCTTTTCTTTGTAACACCTTCCTTTTTTTTACTGACAGTTGAATTGGGGAACAATCAATGTTTATTATTTCCAGACAGCAAGCTGACAACCCTGTGTGTGTCCGTATCATACAGTGTTTTTTCAATAAGTGAACTAAGCTGTTGTGGTCTTACTTGCTCCTGTGCCTTGGCTGTATGGTCTTATTAGACCAGAAATGACTGACAGATTCTTCTCTGGCATGTGAAGTGGTACTCTGCAAATCAAAACTGACATCAAATAGTCAAACTGTATTGTCTCACTGACAGCAGCAGCAAGCAACATGTAGTATCTTTTTAATCAAGAGATTCCTGTGATGATGTTTTTGCTTTCTTGAGAAGAAATGATACTGATTTATAAGCAGTTCGTTTACCATCTTGAAGCTTCTACTTTCCAAATCCTAAAACTGCAATAGGCAAATTCTTGGCAGCTGCTGTCAAAGACGGCAGAACTAAAGGGTGCTACTAGTCTGTCTTGTAACCACCCAGGTACTGTATGGGGCTTCTGCTGCACAGTGTTTCAGAAAGATGCAATATGTTATATATTGTGTGAAATTCTAACTGTTTTTTTTTTTTTTAATAATGTTATTTGTGTAAAGGGGAAATTGGCACAGTCACTTTTTGATAGTTTTATGCTGTATATAGTAAACTAGTTTTCTACAAGATTTTTATTGGCAAAATATTTTGTTACAGGCTTTCAGTCAGCATTTTGAATGAGCTTGGGTAGGAGGGAATGATGCCTTATGTTGCAAACAGGATTCTCAACAGACCAACAGGGCCTTCATACCTCTCACAGGAAAAGTCTGTCTCAGAGCTAATGCGATTTGATATAAAGACAGACTTTGCTCCCTGTGCTGCACTGAAACTCACTGACAAGACAGGATACTTCTGAGCCTCTGGAAAGCTCAGTATGTGGAGACAATGGCTGTTTGTAAATGAATGGAGCTTGTCTGTGGTGTTGCTATATCATACTTGACTATTTTTGCTACTGACTATTCTTGTATGAAATTTTTCAATAAAGGGATTCCAGACTTAGTCTCTGTGCGTTTTTCAGTTCTGACTTTGAATCTCTGACCCAGAGAAGATCTGATGAACTTTTCATCAGTTTCCTGGCAAGCACCAGGGTGTGCCTTATGCTTGCCAAATCCTACATCTTTCAACTCCCTAGGAGAGATGAACTGATACTCTTTTCACCCTGCCTTATGCTCATTTTAGGAGATTAGGTCCCAAGTAGTGCAAGATTGTGCTGTTCCTCTCCTGCACTTGGCCTTGCTAGAATCACAAAAATCAGTGATCTATGTTCACCTTTCTAAAAACAGGTAGGTCTCAAAAACAGAGGAAATAACAAAAACTAAAGGGCATCTTAAAAAAAAAAAGGGGCATCAGAGTGTTTTGGGAATAAGGGCATAGGACTCGTGTCAAGTGAAATGCTGCTCTTACCATCTCAGAGGTCAAAGTTGCAATGTTTGTGCTGATTATTCCTGTATTCCACATTGTATTATGCTGATCTAATTTAGCCCGTACTGGGGAGCTTCTAACCAGTGCAGCAGCCTGTGTCAGTGGAGCTTGGGTAACTGTTTTAAATGGCCAGCTTTCTTGTCCAAGAGGGATGAGCTGATTATAGAGCTGGAAAGGGAAGTGGTTTTTCAAAATCGATGCTTGGGAAATATCCTACATTCTGCCCTGGAGGAATGTCAAAGCAGAGGATCTCAAGAGCAGAGGTGGGGGCTTACTCAGCAAGTCCTCAGGGCAAGGCTGTGCAGTGCTAATCCAAGTTACCATTCTGTATCCAGGGAGGCAAATATGAATTATTGTTCCAAAACAATCAACTGTGAGAGTCAACAGATATCAGCTTTGTTACTTGTGGAATTCACCCTTGCATTATAACCTTGACCTACAGCATGTGATAGGACCAGGAAAAATGTCTCCTTTATGGACTTTTGGATGTGTGCATCACGTTCCGTCTGTGGAGATGCTAAATACTTTCCTCACTGTTTGCATTGTTGCACATGAGGGCCAGTTGGGAGGCTATGTTGGTAAGTTACTGGCTATTTAAAATTGAAGATCACTGTACTTCATTTCTTTGTCCCCTGCAAGTCCTTTGGTGTCCTCTCCATGCTGCCCAATGGGAACCTTCTGCAGCCACGGTGACCAGAGTAGGTCAGTCTAGGAAGCCTCAAGCGACTTCCCTGCTCTGCTAAATTCACATGGAACAGTTCGGGTTTTTCAATCAGACCTCTGGCTGCTGTTAAGAGATGATGTTCATCACTCCACAACAAGGGCTCCACATCAGGCACCTATTTTCTGTCCTTAAGGGCTCCTCAGCCTCCTTTGGTTTCCTCCCTGGACTGATCAGTCCCCAGTTTGTGTTTTTGCAGAACAAGTTCCTGAGACCTGCTGGTGCTTGCCAGGAGCAGTGGGAAAATTATGAACCCATAACAGAAACAATTATTTGAAGTTTATGAACAAGACAAAAAAAAAAAAAAAGAGAGAGAAAGAAAGACTTGTGGTTTTTTACTTCTATTGTGCTGGTGAGTCCTTGTAGTCAGGGCTGATGTGTTTTAAATAAACACACTTGTGGGTGCGGCAGAACTGTCTGTGCAAGCCTAAACTCAGGTATCTCTGGTTATGCAATTAATGTACAAACATACTGCTTCTACTTTTTGCTTTGGTGAAGGACTTCTGAGATGTCAGAGCATGTTCACTGTGAGCTTTTGCTTCTTAAAAGAAGGGTACCTTCTAAAAAATCATATTTTTCATGTATCATCTGGATTGAATTTTTTTCTGTAAAATAATATTGGGAACCCCTTTGGTTGCTCACTTTCTTTGGCCACTCTTCTGTCTAGGAGCACAGGACTAAACCTAGCTCTATCTTCACAGAATCATGGAATGGTTGGGGTTGGAAGAGACTTTAAAGCCCATCCAGTTCCAAACCCCTGCCATGGGCAGGGACGCCTTGCACTAGACCTGGTTGCTTCAGGCCCTGTCAAACCCAGCCTTGAACACTGCCAGGGATGGGGCAGCCACAGCTTCTCTGGGCAACCTGTGCCAGGGCCTCAGCATCCTCACAGGGAAGAACTTCTTACTAGCATCTAATGTAAATCTCCTGTCAGTTTAAAGCCATTCCTGCTTGTCTTGTCAATGACCACTATTTAAAAGGTCTACAGAGCATTATGATATATAGCAAATCTGAGGACTGCCTAAGTTTTAGCTTTGTAAGGACCTTAGGGAGGTGTCAGACTTTTGCAGACTGTGGTGGCTTAAATCAACCTGCTTTGTGAAATACAGATATTTGTGGGCAGGCCAGCAGCCAGTGCACCATTGCTAACTGACAGCTCCTGAGGCTGTGCTAAACTGCATGTAATTGAGGAGCACTTGGAGGGATGGCTTCTAGCAGAAGGGATTTCAAGCTGGAACCAAGCCTGGTGACTCCAGGGAAAAAGCATCTGAATTCCAGGGCTCTGAAGCAAGCTGCGAGGGTGGAAGGAAGCTTATGATTAGAGAGTGGCTAAGTGGGGAGTAAGAAAATGGAGCGCAAATTTAGTTGCTGTTGTTGGCTGGATCCTGCCTTCTGCCGGAGCCTAGAAAGCTGTGTGGATCTGCTGGCCAAGAAGAGTTTTCTTTGCTGTCGCTAGGGACCAAGCCCTGAAGGTCAGGACAAAACCTGGATCCTCTGCCGTGCAGCTTGGAGACAGAGAGATTCCGGTCTCGTGAAGGAAGGAAAAAATCCTATGGTATTTCTGCCTTTGGCAGCATGACTGTGCTTTTCTGCTCTATATGGGCACTCACATTGCAAAGGTTGGCTCAGTTAAATAGGGCTTACTAATGCATTAATTTAGAGGAGCCTGCCTGAGGAGAGGCAGAGCAAGCAGCTCCCATGAACTTTCTGTGAAGGAAGCAACATGGATTTTGTTTTCCAGCACAATTTTTGCTGGTTGCATTCATTTCTTGGAAGCACTGTTGACAGTTCAGCTTGATTTTACAGCCATACTGCAGCAAGCTGGAATCGAGGGAAAGGAGGGGAATCCTGAGCCAGGCAGCACACATAGCCAGGCAGCATGGCTCTGCTCCACAGCCAGCACCACTGCCAGCTGAGAAACCTGGTTTGGAAGGTGAAAGCACCATTTATTTAAGATATTTATACCACAGCTGAATTTCCACATCTTGGTCTCACTGTAAGTGAAGGGGCTGGTGAAATAACTGCAGGAACCACCTTTACCAGCTGGAGCACAGCTGCAAATTGCTGTGGTCCCCAGGCCAAGCCAGGGTGTTTGATTACAGCCCAGCTATCTCCGGGGGTAAACAGAGCTGGTCTGGCCACAGTGTTAGATCAGGGCCAGAGCAGAGGGGGGCTGCTTGGTGAAATAGCAGCCAACGGCAAGCTGGGAATTAGAAGGAGGTTCAACAGAGGTTATGAGCTTGTAAGGTTACTGCTGATGACAAAGTGTGGATTTGGGGATATTACATCGTGTAAGTCTCCAACTTTGAGTTGTGCCATTAATAGCCCACCAAACCTTTTGCCAGAAAGGCAAACTTGAACCAGAGGACAAGCAAAGGGCAGGATGAAATAATTCCTTTAATGGCAAAGAAATAGAAAATGATGAGAGCTGTGCTTTTTTATGAGACCACAGACACAGTTTCAAGCTTAAAACATTCATTCTTTTTGAGAGACGGTCCAGAGGAGCAAACCTCATTTGCAACTTGGCTTTAGTACCCAAATTATCCAGTATTACGGTAACTCCAAGTCAGCAGAGGTCTTGAAGGCATAGGTAGCTTTCAGAGCTAATAAACTGGCCAACGACCTTTCAACTGAAAAGGCCAGGGAACTTGTATGTCAGAAAAAAATTCCTTGGTGTTTTTCTGGGGTAATAAATGGACTTTTCAGTTTAAACATTAAGGTCTAACAAACCCAAGCAAATGACGCAATGGTGGGATGCCTAATGCGGATGCCTTAGTGGCTGCAGTGCTAGAAGCACCATAGGCTGTGCCAGATTCAGCCTGCCCTCACAAGGCATCCTGCTTGGGGACCAAAGGGGACACAGGAGCTGTATGGCCTTGGCCAGGAGGAAACAGATACATATGATGGGCATCATGACATGGTTTATCTTCCCAAGCTGCAATGGCTGCTGAAAAAATGGTAAATGAACAATGAGTCAAGTTACACAAAATTAACTTGGCAGTGTTGTTTCTAAGCAAATTTGAACTAATGGGAAGTCTATGCCATGTAAATACCTTGCACTATGCAGCTTTGTTTTCTTTGTCTTCTCCTTTTTTTTTCAATCTGGTTGCTGGGATGCCAGTGCTGGATTTACTGTTTTATCCAACAGCAGCCTGGGAAAAGAAGCAGCAACAGCACACCCTTACATGTCATGGCTCAGGGCTAGAAGGATTTCATAGCCCATGTTTTGCAGGTGGGATGTTCTGTGGGCTTGCTCCCACAAGGGTGGTAGTGGCAGGCATGCCTGGGCATGGGTGGGAGTCTGCATAGGCCTAGGGGCTGTGTGCATGGGAGAGATTCAGCAGGGTCTGACACTGCATGTGTAAAATGCAAGGAAATTGAAACTGGATATATGG